CACTGCCACCCAACTTGGTGTCGTCTGCAGGTCCCAATCTAAATCAACAGAAGCCAAGAAATTCAAAATTAGGGCTGACACCATGCTTAACTCTAAATTTCTTGGCTTCTGTCTAGTCAAACTGACCCGTAAAGTTATATAACTGTCTTTGGTACCTCTTTCATCCCCTTTCCCCAGCTACATGTAGGGCACATAGTTCCTTTCAACAGGAACTAACTCCGCTTCATGAACAAAGAACCATCTGTAAACAAGTTAGTGCACTATCCAAAAAGACTAACTTCTGTCAGTTGCTTTTTACTTTTCCTAGCATATTGGCAGAACTGCCATTTTCTTAGGGTGTTAAAGTTCTGCTTCAGAGCCAGGCAGAATCTTGCCAGCATGCCAGAAAGCTGTCAGACTGGTACATATCTGCCAGCCAGCGTGCTAGCCAACTTCACTTGGACAGGTCTGGTGGAGTATGGTAGTGATTAGTTAAAAGAGTGACAGTTCTTACATAGAGTAATTTAGAAAAACTTAAGTTGTATTTAAAAAAAAAAAAAAGTGTCAGAACTTGATGGAGGTGCACCTGGAGCATATAAAGCTTCTGATTAGTTCTGGTTCACTCTGCATTTTGACTATATAGGACTTTCAGTCACCTGCTGTATTCTTTATCAGATTTTTCTGCTTTGTATTTGCTCAGTTACATACACACACATTACATCTTTTCATCTTCCACATTTGGAAAAAGCTTTGAAGAAAGATGTTTTGGTAACTGCGAGAGTACAGTATGTCTACCATTATTCTCCAGTTGCTCAAAGTAATACCCTATTCACTTTGGCTTTCTTTTGTACATAGTTCTCTTCATTTCTGTCAGTCATTATTTGGGAAGACTAACTGCCTGGTAAAATTACTTAAAATTTGAATCACTGTAGCTATTGTACTAAAAGGGAATGTCATTGCTTCATTTATTTCATAATGTTATCATCTCATTTACACCTTACTCTGCCTTCAGCAGGTAGAAGACAAAAATGATTTTGTTTATCTAGATGTGAACTGTTTTATATGTACAAGTGGCCTAGGGGAGTGTTTTCATGTCCTAATTGTTTTCCATTCTAGAAATTGTCAGCGCTCTCTCTCCGTATCCAACAAATTGAAACAACACTCAATATTTTGGATGCAAAGGTTTGTATGTGTACAGACTTTGTCTTCTAACAGTGACAGCCTCCTAGATCACATGAACGAATTTCCTTTTCATAGTCTGAATTGAGCAAATAAGTTTTCATAATGATTTGAAGGAGCTAATACAAAATGCTCACATGGCAAATTCTCTCTTTGCATGCCTCGCCACGTATATTGTGTAACATTTGAACATGTAGTAGGTGTGGAAGAAAGGAACCAACAGCACACAGCGGAAATGTTGGGTTTGTCTCAGTAAAGCATATTGAACAGGAAGGGAGCACTTGGATCTTGAAAGGGCACCTAAACTATACGGCAGCTTACTTGTGTTGATTTTATTGCAATATTTGGTTTTAAGAAAATGGAGAGAAGTTTTCCGATACTAAAATACGCAACTTGTGTTGCAGGGTTGCAGTACGAAATTGCATTTGCCATTGCATTCTTTCTAATAAAAAATTTTTGCCCCCTTTGTAAAGCAAAAGTCTATTTGTAAGTGTTACCGGACTGTAAGGATTTCAACTGGTATAAGTAACTAGATAGATGCCTTGTAAACCTTTTGATATTGAAATCTGACCTGAATTGGATCTAAGCTAACACAAATGTGTCTGATGTATCTTCTTTAGCTAAAATGACAGAAGGATATAATCTATAGTCATGTATTATCATTTAATTTGCTAAAGAAAAAAAACCAAACAAGCCCCAAAGCCAAAAAACCACCCACTGTAAAGTTTTAACCAATCCTTCTTTCAATAATGATGGAAGCAATTTCGGTTGGCTTTTCTGGGAGCAGGGGTAGGACATTTTGAAACTGTTCATTAAGATCTTTGTGAAAAAAATACTGTAGTAGTACAAACAGTGCTTACTAACTCTTATTTATTTCAAAATATTTAGGAATTATCAGTATTGATAATTTTTGCAGAATTCTTCATAATCATGTTAAATAGAATTTCCTTCAAATAAATAGACGGTGTATTTAATATCCACTCTCAGCATTTCGTTAAAAAAGAGTGAAAGATGTAGAAAATTGCAAAATCTGTAACCGGTCACCCATCTGTTAGGTAATAGAGCTGTTCTTGTCATGATTTCTTTCACTATAGAGGAAGTAGCAGAGAAGATGGCACAGCTCTTGTGTGGTTGATAAGTGCAGTAGCAAAACGCTGGGAAGGTGTTGAAGCCTTTTCTGCGCTGCAACCCTGTGTTAACAGTGAAAGCTCCAATGGAGTGTTTTGGGGTTTTTGTTGTAGAAGCCACCTGAATAGAAAAGTCTTTTTTTTTGCCAATCAAAATACCAAAACTAGTGATAAAAAGTTACGATTTTACTAATGTAAAACCTACCTGGGGAATATGTGGTAAGCAGCATACTGCAGATTTTATTGTACACCTAGACTTATGATATGCTTGTTGCTTATTTGTTGATGTTTTGTACATTCAGTTATCCTCTATTCCTGGCCTAGAAGATGTCAAATTTGAAGTGTCCAGTGCAAATATGAATAGTGTTACAAATGGTCCTGTGGCACAAGCTAGTGCGGATCAACAGACAGCTGTATCACCTCAATCTGCAGTAAGTAATGAAGCATAAATAATACATTGAAGGAATCTACCTCTCCGTGTCAAGTTTCTAGTCTCATTTGAAATAGATGGAAGAAGCAAGTCTATTGGAAGAGAGCAATCGACTGTAAAGATCTAAGACTATGTTTTTTAGTAATGAAACTGTTTTAACGAGTGACTTAAAAGAAAAAAGGGTATAGCCTTTCTTGGATATGTGGCTTAAATCATAGAATCATAGAATCATTAAGGTTGGAAAAGACCTCTAAGATCATCGTGTCCAACTGTCAACCCAACACCACCATGCCCACTAAACCATGTCCCTAAGCGCCTCATCTACACGTCTTTTAAATACTTCCAGGGATAGTGACTCAACCACTTCCCTGGGCAGCCTGTTCCAATGTTTAACCACTCTTTCAGTAAGGAAATTTTTCCTAATATCCAATCTAAACCTCCCTTGGCACAATTTCAGGCCATTTCCTCTCGTCCTATCGCTAGTTACTTGGGAGAAGAGACCAACATCCACCTCGCTACAACCTCCTTTCAGGTAGTTGTAGAGCGCGATGAGGTCTCCCCTCAGCCTCCTCTTCTCCAGGCTAAACAGTCCCAGTTCCCTCAGCTGCTCCTCATAAGACTTGTTCTCCAGACCCTTCACCAGCTTCGTTGCTCCAGCACCTCAATGTCCTCCTTATAATTAGAACTAACTCAAATAATTAGAACTAACTCAAATCTAATGGTAAATGCCTCCTTCCTCTTCCTCAATCACACTGAACTATGAACGTGAATTACATCAGGGGACTGGGAAGGTCATGAATGAAAATAACAGTTCGAATCACATAATTCCAACTCTTTTCTCCTTCCTTTAGAATGTGAGCTTTCAGCTCAAATTGGACTTTCTAGCATACTTTATTTTAAAGAAGTTATTACAGTGAATGTTTTCTACATATTATCATCTATGTACAGAAAATGCCACCTTATTATAAGTGATCAACATTAAGATCCTATCCGTGCAATTAATTTTTTGTTAGGGTTTTTTTGTGTTTGTGTGTATGTGTGTATTTGGTTGGTTGGTTTTTTAACCCAGACTTAAATCCTGTGATCACTGTTTCACTAAGTGAGGCTTTCTGGCTCATTTGTAGATGGAGTCCTTTCCTCAGTTTCCTATTATAGTTTATTTTCCCGGAATCTCCAATTCCAATCTCTGCTTGTTCTCTTACTGGGTGGAAGTTGCTGTGTAGCAGCAATAGCTGGAGTACGCTGCTGCCTTTCCTTGCCTGTTAAAGATTGTAACTCTAATTTGCAGCCAGCAACACAGGAGACAGAATGGACAGTTAGCATTGTGTGTTTCAGTCATGTTAAAGAATGACTCTCAGTTATTTAATTTTCTTTAAAATGTTCCTCCTCTCAGATATTGCAGTAGGGACAGATATTCGTGAAAGGAGGTTTCCAATGCTACTTTCAAATGGTTGTTTTAATAGCAAATATGCAGTTTTCTGTTGTCCTTTGAATAGTACTATCGCTTCTTGTCATTTTTCATTTTTTTAATTAATTACTCTCAAGGATTCTTTGCTTTCATTATGTTATTCTTTAGGTTAATGGTTTACACTAAAAAGTATCGTTTAAAAATTATATGATCTGTATGAAACATTTATCAGGGAATCAAATAAATATTTTGAGGAAAAATGCATTAGACCACTAGGGGAGATATAAAGATATAATCCTTAAAAAAGTATTTTTTATAAAGTAAGCATTTAAGTTTAGTTGTGTTTTATTCATTAAATACAACAAACTTAACAGGGCTATTATAGGCTAATTTTTTTTTTTCACTTATTGTGGAATAACTTAAAACTAGAAAGTCACACTTGTAACAGTAACGAAAGAGCTGTTTTTTGTGTATTCATACATCTTGGAAATCTCTAATAGTAGGAGAGTAGATCAGAATAATCTTGTTGTAAGAAGAGTTGCACTTTACACTTAAAGTACAAATTCTATGGATTGAAATCTGTCCATGCTTCTGGTCTGCATACCTAACCATTGAAGTGTTATCTTCTTTGTATACAGCAGAACAATATACATGAAGAAGGGTTACAGAAAACGGAGGTGGTAACAGAAAATGTCAGAACTGTGGCCAAGGATCCAAGATATGCCAGATATCTCAAAATGGTACAAGTGGTAAGTCAGTTCTCTTATCATTCTTTGGGTACTCTGTCATTTTTAGGTGGAACGTCGTGCACAAGTGTGAGTGAACATTAAATGTCTGAAGACATATATTGCATCAGTAATCTTTAAGCAAGGATAACATCACAGTATTTCTAGCGCATCTTCTCTAATAAATGAGTTGATGTAATATATTCCCTCAGACAGCTTCAGGCAAGATCTTCCTCCAAAATTCTGCCAATATACTTGTGAACTGAAGGTGTGAAGATGTGTAAATGCAGAGTGATATTAGCTGGAGTTACAGAAGATGCCACTGAAAGTGTAGTTATTCTGGCAAAATTTACACACAGAAATGATTACAGTTTGGTTTTGCTGTAGGGTACAAAATGCAGCTTTGCTAGTATAGTCCAGAGCAGGAGTATTTGATATTTCTGTAGGGTTCAACATAGAGATAGAAGAATTGCTTCACTACTTGGTTCCACTTCAGTTTCCTGTTATTCATGATGCAGGTTTTGTTTACCTCTTTATCTGTTCTATAGGAAATAAATGAATGTAATGTCAATATTGTGTGTATGTGAAAACTAATGAAGGAGTGAAAAGGTGAATAGGAGACTCTTGGTGACATTTTTTTAAGAGCTCTTTTTTTCACCTCCACAAAATCAAAAATGAGATTGGAAACAAAGAAAAAAATCTGTCTTTATTTTCAAGCCGTCAGTGGAAATTTTACTCTAAAATATATACTATAATTCTGGAAAATGTGACTGTGTCATAGTATTAGTAAAATGTTGCTTATGTTTAAACTAACTTCATGGTTTCACTCCCTCTTCAGAGCAATTATTACAATTGGTGTGCTTGGTCCTTTGGATGATGTTCCAGACCTTATTTTTCATTTGAATCACAAATTGGCACTTTATGGGTAGCTTGTTACAAACCATTTGGAAAACCTAGCAGTGGGGTGGTAGCAGAGAGTAGAATGCTATGTTAGTGTATTGGCTTAATGCCAGCCTTCAAAGTGGATGTGAAAGTGCTGGATGGTCTAATTACTTTGACTTTTTTTTTGGTGACTGCTAGAGGGGTGAGATCTCACTTTCCACATCTATCCTTTGTACTGGCAGTTCCTGGTGACTCCTCTGCCAGTTGTAAACAGTGTGGTAGGAAAGTCAAACTAACACACTACAAATTAACGTGTGGTTTTGTATTTGCCAAACTTGTCGTCTCGTCCAGTCAAGTGTTTCAGTTAATGTAATTTATTTGCCCAAATTAAGTTTCTACCTGAAGATTTGTTTGAATTTATTTATTGCTCACAATATTTGTAGTATTTAAGAATTAGCACCATGAAGAGCTACTTCTTTTACAGTAAAGATAGCTGTTCTGTGAAGTAGTAACAAACTCATTTCGATGGAGTGCAGTTGAGCATAATAAATTAATATTTTTTTAAAATATACAACAATAATATTCAAGCAAACCTTACAAAAGCAGTATCATATTTGCTACAATAAATGTTCAGAACACTTCTATTAACAGTGTGAGAGAAGCAGTCTATGATTTCAGATAAACTTCATGTTAAAGTACAAATACTCTTACTTGATTCTAAACACCAAACATGATCACATAGACGCCGAGATACTGACTGGCCTGATATAGATTGATCCTTGCTTTAAAGGAGTGAAATAAAAAACAAACATGGAGAGTGCACTGATCTTCAGAAATTGCGAGCACTGATGGCATGTGACCTGTTTCTGCACTATGGAGAACCAAAATCTATTTTGCAACAAGATCGCTACTTGCACTGGGGCTTCTCCAGGACCTTCACACTTCCCGAGCTGCAGGACCAGGCTGGGAGTAGGGCTGGGGGACACTGCCTTGAATGCGTAGTCATTTGGATTATTTCAAATCTTAACTGGGCAGAGACAAATGTGGTGGAAATTTAATATTGGCTCCTATGTTAGAAAAGTACACTTGTGCCATTTCAGTGGACCTGTATGCTCATTGTCGTTACTGATTAGATTTAAAATAGTTGTCTATTTTATTTTAGTAAGATTTAGGATCACAGCAGTATTAGGCTCTGATTTTCCAGATTAAAACTTAGGAAAGTATGAAAGGTAAAGTAATTGTAATGCCCTAATTGTATTATAAACAGATATAGGTACATTCTTACTTGTTTTCCTTCAGGAAAAAAGTGCACTGTTAAAGGGTATTTTGATTAAACTTAAGATTAGTTTTAGAAATCTATGATATATGAGAGTACTGAGAGGTTTTTTTCTTACATATTTTGATGCATACAATTTTGGAATAAAACACTTCTCCAAGTGTGAATGTAAAGACGTAATAGTTTCCAATCCGTTCTTTGAACTTCATATGCCAAGCTCCCTTTCATTGAGAGCAAACAGAAATTCTGCTTTGCCTGATCTGACTCAGTCTGGTTTTCACACGGTTTGAATTGATGCATAAACACTTCATCAGTGATTTCTGAGCTGGGGAAGGAACCCTAAGAGCAGTCAAGCGAGGGGAAAAACGTTAGATAGAATGAGACTGTGTATAGACACACAATCCCTGGTGTGCAAATCTATACTAGAATAAGTGACTATTTTAAACTGTTACAAAATACTCACATACTTTCCCCTTTGTAATGTACATTAGTTGTCAATTACTGAGAAATTCTTTATTACAAGCTAATACCTCGCAACTATTTGAGTCCCATTTTTGCCAATATGCCTAGTAGATTGCTAAAACTATGTACCTGTTTGTGTGCTATTCTGGAATCTTCAAACAAAAGTCTTGATTGTGATTCTTACTGTGAAACTGCACAAGGAAAACACAGAAGACAGCTAAGCTCTCACTGTGAGAGTTTAGCTCTCACTTTGCCAGGTTAGCTACTGCAACTGTCACTAGTACCACATGCTTCTCTGGAACATTAGTCATGGCTGCCCTTTATTTTATCACTATTTTACTTACTTTGGATAACAGATATTTGTCCTGTGCCAAAAGAATCCTATACTACTTTTCATTTAGGTTGTGAGACCTCTCCTGACTTTCCTAGACTACCAGTAGCTTTGTCCCTTGGAAAGCAGAAATTGTATCCTCTTTCTTTTTTTCCCCTCCTATCTTGGCATGCAGTGGTCCAGGTGGTGTTTCTGATGGTTTGGAACAGGGGATGGCAAAGCAACAAGTTGTCTTTGAGCAACTCTAGTGGAAACATAGGAGCAGTTTGTTGGAAGAATGTATCTCATAAGACGACGTGGGTCAAAGTGTTCTTGGGTATGCGATCCAAGATGAGGGGATGTTTAGGTGTTGCTGAATAAAATAAAGTGCAGAAGCTGTGGAAGGACTTGCGGTGAAAGGAAGGAATTTTTTTTTTAACACGTACATAGTTGGGTAAAAGCTGTCCACAAGTCACAGAAGATTCAAGCCTGACTTGAATTCAAGCACTTATATTCAGAGGAGTCACTTCTAAATTGTGTTTCTGTTCTCATGTCCTGTTTGCCTTTTTCTGCATGCTTTTTAAAGACTTCTCCAATTTTTAGCACTGCCTTAAGGTATCCTTCCAGAGCTGTAGCAGATGCACTTTCCTGGTTTTCCTCTCTCATTGGCTATACCTTGAGCATGTCCGAGTCGTCGTCATCTTTGTAGCACAACTGTTCTCTGCTGTCTTTGTGCTGCTTTGTGCTTTCTTCACATTCTCATCCATACACATAACTTCAGCTTCCTGGTTTTGTCTGCATGAATTTCAAATATATCTGTCCATTCCTGATTCTCTCCCTGCAACTTTCTCTAGATGTTTTGCCATAAATATAAGAAGGATTAAAAGGGCCTTTGATCTCAGTCATTTCTCACTTCTAGCTTCATACTGATGGCAACTGATATTATCATTCCATGCTCTTGTTCAGCAAGTGACATGCATAAATTTGTATCAAAGTGTAGCCTAAAAGTGGAATTTAGTTCACCTGTTTGTGTCCAGTAGTTTCATATTATTCTTCCTCCTACACAGGGTGTTCCTGTAATGGCAATACGAAACAAAATGATTTCTGAAGGGCTAAATCCAGATCTTCTTGAGTAAGTAATTTGTAACTTTCAGTAGGGCTGGAATGCAACCATCTGTTTAAAAAACTTGGAAAAAAGTGTGCTTAGAAAAGCTTTTTTATGGTATCGTGAATCTAAATTATCGGCATTAAAACAGGTTTTGAAGTCTTCCGTGAAAGGCGTATTTAGCATTTTATAGGTCTGAAGAAGGCCATCAGTACCAAAGGAGGAAGGATGCAATCTCAAGTATGAGCTGTCTTTTCTGTATCGTCTAGTCCAAGGCAAGGCCCAGGAAATACAGAGACTGGAATATAAATGGGTAGGTGCTGCACCCTCCCAAACAGAAAGTTGCAGGACTTTACCATTCAGACTTGAGAGGAAATGGAAGGGCTTCTTCCAAGCCAAGCAGAGGTGGTGCAGTTCAAGGAAAAGGATATAGCAATGACAAGGTAACATTTGACAATGTGCATTTAGTGATGAGGAATCAAGTAATACGTCAGTAGCCATTTTCATTGTACTGTTTAGAGTATGAGGTTTTTCCCAGATATTTTCTTCCAACACTTCAATAACAAAATGTCATCATTGTAGAGTAATAAGAACAAACTCTATTTTACTTTGCTGGATGCATGAGGGACAGCACAGTTGTTTCCATATTCCCTCAGTAGATGGAGTGTACAACTTGACTTCAATATTGACAGTGTAATGAAGTCAGCCGTTTGAAATTGTGACTGGATTAAGCTAACCTGATGTGAAGACTACTAAGAATAGATACTCGTTTTCAAAGCTACTTGTCTGGCCTTAAGCATGAATTTTAAGCTTCTTTTACATTTGACATGTAATTTAGTTTTACTGTTCTATTTCACAGAATTTGTTAAACTGATGAAAATATTAACTTTCATTCTTACATTATAGCCACTAAACTGTTTGAAACACTTTTGCATCCTCTTCAGAAACTGTCAAATGTATTAGAAATCCCACTTCTCCTTTCCAGTGAAGTCTTTTTACATTTTGGAAAGGCTTATTCTGAAACTAGCAGCTTGTTTAATAAAATAAATAAAAATATAGGACAACTGAAGTATCGTCGTATGTTGAGTCACTTTATCTCCCAGCTACTTCCTGGTGCCTAAATAAGCCTAAAGTAGTTATTCCTCATTTGGTATTTTTACCAATGAGAAATAAGAAAAAGAACACAAGTAAGAACCTGTGCAAGTCTGAGACAGGGTTATCAAACACGGTTTTACTATATGTGTGTTAAATGTATTTCTTAATCTGCGTTTCTGGTCCATACCTTTCTGTAAATGCTGCTATTTCTTCATGTTTGGATGGATTTTTACAGTAGATAAAAATAGGATAATAGGTTAAAATTTCAAAAGCTTTTTTAAAAAAGTACCTGCTTTTGGATTGTCTGTTTTGGGTTAAGACAAAAATGTTATTACTGTGGATTGGGGCTCAAAGTCCATCTTCAAATATTCTGTGCAACACTAATGCTTAGGCAGATTTTCTTTAAAATGTTATCGGTTTGAAAACTCTATAGCAAATCTACCTGGTTAAAGAAAGCTAATTATTTGGCAAGGTGCATAATGCCTCTTTGAAGAATTGGTATTATTTGAAATAATTTTTTAATATTTTAAGGAGTCAGGGGTGACCTTTCTTTTAATCCTCTTGCTTTCTTGTCTCAATATCATAGACTTTTTTTTTTAAAATGTATCTTGCCGTACACACCACATTTCTTGGGTCTTCAGGTTCCTTAGGCCTGCTCACTCAGTCCCAGTGAAAATTAGGAAAATGTACATATTGCTGTATGCTCAGTCGCTTACTGCAAACTCTCCCAGCTATTTGCCAGTGACTGACTGTGCTTTTTCTGTGGCTGCAGAGAGGCTAATTCTAATAATATAGAGCTGTTTATACTCTCTTCCTTTGGCTGTTTTACTTCTACTTCTGTTATCGCTCCTTTCTCAACTTTTTACAGAGTTTGAAAACTGCATATTCTATCAAGCTCCCAATTTATTTATTTTTAACTTTTGTTTCTTATCCTTCTTCTCTTGCCTGTCTAAAATTCCAGGAGAGTTTGTCCTGCCCTCATGAACTAAAGGAATTCATTGCCATCTTCCTCTCCTTACTAGAGGAGGGTTTTTGCACTGGTCTCTCCAGATCACATGTCTTTGCACGGCTCTTCTGTTTTGTCATTACCACAGCAACAAGGAATAATATTGTGAAGTGGTATTTGCATGAGAAAGCAAACGCTTTCTTAATTTATTTTGGAGGTGTGCAGGGAGGAGGGAGAAGGGTCTCTTACAGTTCTTTAACGCACTTCTCATTTTTGCACCCAAAATGTTTAGAAACACTTTAAAAGTACCTGAGGGGTTTCCAACAGAGAAATTATAATAAACAGAACTAAAGTTGGAAAAGAAATTCTGTGGCATGACACACAGGGGTAGCCCCAAGATAAATAAAACCGGAATGAATAATATGATTGTCAGCTTAGTTTAAAATGTAATATTTTATCAAAGAGAGCAGTTAACTATCATACAGGAAGCTAGTTTCTGTGAAGGTCATTCTTCCTCTTCCCCAAGTATAATTGCGTGTATATTTTCTACCTCGGTTTCAGAATTTACCAGGCTCAGTCTTGCTTGTATTGTCAAACGCGTTACATAATTAGGAGAAGGACTCCAGGGAGAGCCAGCATCTTCAGTCAGTAGTGTTAGTCTTTAGATGGCTTGCTTCTCTCCCCTTCATTCCCAGTAGATTCTCTGAGCAAATGTTTTGACACGATGTTAAGATCCATCTTAAAATTCTCTTCAAAACTAAATACAAGAGATCTGATCATTTGTAGTCAATAAAAATCCCATGGCTGCTCTTGCATGTCAAATTTAACCCAGTGTTCTAGCCAAATTCCACTCTGAGTAATTCTTTTTTGCTTCTCTAAATTATCCCTGCAGTTTTAGTTGGATACAATATTGTTCATTTCCTGTCTTTTTTTTTTCATGTACTATTTACACTGCTTAATGGTGTACAGCATGTTCCTTTCAGCGCTACAACCTCTGAAGATTGAAAAAAAAAAAAGAATTAATCAGTATTGCCTGCTTTCAACTCTTTCTACAAGTGTTTGCCACTTCTTAGTGATCTGTCATTATTTCCGATAACCTCAGACGTGTGCATTCAAACGGATGTCTACAGAGTTTTCATGTCCAGTGAGTTACGGTTCCTAGGGTTTATCTTTCAGTTGTAAGTGAAGCAATACCAGTAAGGTGTGAGTTTGTAAACCGTAAACAGTTAATGTGTTAAATGTTGTGGATATAAAGTGCATGCAAATGTAGTGAAAGGACATTAGCATTACATGCTAAGTTGCTTCTGTTCTCAGCCACCTTCTAGGATTTACAACATACAACATTTTTGTTGCCTGCAGGACCCCAGATGCCGCTGTGCCTGCCTGGGGAGATGATGGGAATGCAGAAGACAGTTCTGATAGTGAATCTTCATTTAGTGACTAAAGAGACTGATTTCAGCCTTTGGAAACCTCTGTTAAGTGCTAATGTGTTTGGAGCTTTAGCAGACAATGGTTTTGCATGGGTCACATGGGTGACGTGATTTATCTGACAACATTTTTAAGAACTAAGATCCTCCATGTTCTCTCCCAGAAAGTTTGAACAGGCAGCATGTTTCAACCTGAGCCTTTCCACCATGAAAATTGGTCATGAGATCCTTGCAATTTTTATGCTGCATCATTTCAGATTCCTTTCTGATTCTTCTGAAATTACTTTGTAAAACTCTAAAAATTCCATGCCTCTAAACCTCCAGGTCTCTAAGACTGCATTCTGGTCATTATTGGATTTTCTATGTAACACCTTTAACCTAAGTTTCCTTCTTTCTGTCCTGTAATATACAGGTAAAGTAACTTTTCAAAATGAAATTGTTTAATTGTAATCTGATGAACTGTATTTTTTTCTAATATACTATATTCTGAAGTGACGCAACAAGAATTATGCAGAAGTCAGCTATCTTATGGTGATTGCAAATTAGTGACACCCTGTTTTGAAAGAAACTAAAATACAAGTGAAAAATACATTAAAAACCAATCTGAATCTGTTTTCAAAGTATATACTGCTATCTGATTTCATGTTAGAGTCTGTACAAAGTTGTTAAAGAAATTCCTGCTCTGTAGAAGAGTTGATTTATCATATTCAGGTTACAGTGCTGTAGAAATGTGCTACAGTGCTACAAATATTGCAAGATTGGTTTGAAAATGACACTGTGAAAGAAGCAAGTGACTGGGAGATTATTAATGGAATAACGGATTCTCACTACTTGTTCACTGTCAAGTAGAAACAAACCACTTTCTGACTGCTGTTGGGCTTGTTCAAAAGGAGGTGTGGCTGAGCAGTTTGCATAGGATAAAAAATCCTCCAGGTTGGTGCCTTTGCTGATAATTTCAGCAAAGAGGCCAAAATTCAGTTTGTGTAACAGTAAAACTACCTTGCTACCTCTTGAGGTATGCATTGAGGAACAGTATAAAGAAATCCACTTGGAGCCTGACTGGCCCTGAAGACTTCCTTCCAAAGTACTTAATCTACTCCATGAGTCAAAAATGACATTTCATTTTAAAATGTTCTTTAATATAATTTGTTTCCACGTGAAATTCTTCACAATCTATTTGAATCCCCCAGATTATTGTGATTATACCAGAATGGTGTGCGCCAGGCAATCATTCACTGTCTGGTATTTGACATTCTTCCTGAGACCAAGAAAAGACTAAAACTGAAGCTCTGAGTATATAAATGTTAGCTTTTATGACCAAGTCATTATCTTCTCTCTTACTTATTTATGCCACTTCAGTAGGTTAGCTGTTTTTTTTCCCTGTAACTTAAGCATGGCTCCCACTTGAGTCTAGCAGACATATTTAACCTCTTCGTAACTTGTAAATCAGAGTAATGCCTGAATCCCTACGAAAGCATATATGCACTAGAGAATGTCTAGAGATGGCATTTCAGTGATGAGTTAATTATTATTGAACACTTAAACAAAAATACTCAATAGTTAACCCTTGCTAAAACTTGACAAATATTAACATATTAGCAATAAGTATTTCAAAAGTAAATGTTATAATGTTATTTCAGAAAGCATATATTAAAACACTGGTAACTTTTTGAAATCTATATTTGAAAACTCATTGAAGCAATCTGTACAATTAAAGCTATGTTTTGTAAACCAAAGTTGTGGTTCTATTTTATTCCCATATGTTGTTTTAAACAAGATAATGGAAATTCTTCTGAAGTCTCTGCAATTAATGTTTCTCCAAAACTTATGCTGAAGTTGCGTCAATCTGCTAGCTGAAGGGGAGAGTTTTGAAAAATACGGGGACTGGAGTTTAACCTAAGCCATGTTAGCACTCTGACTAGAGGAGAACTGAACATCCCATAGCTGCTATTTGAACAAGAAAACTTAAGGAAGACTGAAATTAATGAGGACTGTATGGTCGATACTCTTGAACTGATATTAACCTATGTGAGGAAGTAGTATGATTTAAAGAGTTGACTTGAGACACAGTAGTTAATTTTTTTTTTTTAAAGAAATACACAAGGTTACCAAAACACATGTAAGGAGGTATGACTTCCATTTTTTATAATTTTGAAGAAGCTTTTTTTGTAATTTTAGTCTGAAAAACCTAAAATCAATTGTCTTTTACATCACTACAGATGTATTTTTATGTGGAATGAAAAAGAAAGCCTCTAGCCTGCTGTCACTTGTTAAAATGAGGGATAATTAATTGGTAATTACATACGTTACAGATAACAATTTCATTAGTAGGCATGCTGAATTTAATTGCTTAAGACTTGAGATTTTTTTCAGGGTAGCTGTTTACTTTGGAATAGTGCAATCTTGGTAGGCTTGCAGAAACGTTAAGAAAAATCTTGCCACTTTGTCTCCTCTCCCACTTGAGTGGTGGCACACTGCACAGTAAAAATCCAAGTGTTTGAACTGTGAGGAACCAGGGGGAAAAAGCTAAAACCTTCCCTTTTTACCTTCAGTGCATCAGCAGCCATAATGCTTCCACTGCCTTCGGAACCTCTGACCGCGTTAAGCTCCTCTATTCCTGCCAGTCTCATCTGCTAAACACATCCCTGTACTCTTAGGTTGTAGCCAAGTTCAATCTGAGATGTTTCAGCTTAGGACACATGCTGACACAAGAAGCTATTAAGTATGGGAAGGTTGGTTTGTGACTGAATTATGTCAGCTGTGCTAGTCCTCCTTGATCTACAGCAGTTTTCTAGTGAGATGGTGCTAACCCAGAAAGTTGGAAAGTCCTTAACCACAAGCTAAATACTATAAGCAGAGAGTATTCCAACTTGCTCATTATTTGCCATCTGTTTTGGCATAGAAAATGGAGGGAGTATTTCAACTTGGCTGCATAGTAATCAGATATACGTAGTACTTTCAAGGGAAGAAGTCCATTTTTAAGTGACTTATTTTTAAAAAACTTCCAACAGCAATGAACTTTTAAAAGATGCAGTATACATTAAGAGGTGTCAGTCATACACATCTAATGTACCCAAATTTTACATGGATTTAAAATCATCATCTGGGGCAATATTACAATTTGTAGGCATGATAACTACTTCGGCTTGTTGCTGGAATAACTGTTGAATGCATCTGTTAATACTAATTATGTACTATTAGTAAATTATGTACTCAATGTTTAAACAAACTTCCTTTTTTTTACCCCATCACCGTCTTCCTCATTTTGCAGGTGAACTGGAGTGCAGAATGTTTAAAGGTCTGTTTCTTAAAGTTATTATAGGCATTTTAAATGCATGTAGGTGCCTTAAGACTAGATGCGTATCTGTATTTAAGTAAGCGAAACCTCAAACAACTGTCAAAGGCAAAATCAACATCTGGACATGATAATAACTTTGTACACAAAATAAGTGATGCACAATGCAATTGCTCACCACCCGCGCTGACCGATAACCAGGTAGCGATCGGTACTTCCTGGATCACGCCTACCATTCATAAACCACGACAGCACTCTTAATTGTTAATCTGTTCCCTCTCAACTCTTCTGTGCAGCTACATTTGAAAAGAAAATCGATGGTTCTTTTTGCAAGTTGGGTATCTTCCTCTTTCTTGTTTTCCTTTCCAGTGTGTGTTATTTACACCAGTGAGTAAGTGTATAGTTTCACATTCTGTGAAAAAAAGTCATAAGAAGCTATAGCCTGTACTTGGAAAAAGAGAATATGACGAAGACCAGCACTTCGAGTTGCATGTGATCAGGTCGGTTTTGTTTTTCATAGTTACGTAGCAAGAAACTGAAGTTCATCACCATCTTAAGCTTTCTGGGAATCCAGTTTTATCTCCAAGAAGCTGAAACAAGGTTACAGTGTTAAAATGAATTCGTCTAGAAAACAGAACATGTATTTTCTTACTCTTCAGAAAATTTGGCAACCTGTTGTCTGAGATGTCTGCAGGCCAAATGCCTGCACTAGCGCCCATTATTTTCCTGATACTTCACATGATGGTGTCTCCATTCAGATGACTTTACAGGCAAAACAGGAACTGCCACATGAGCTCAAGCCGGTGGCTCACTTAGTCTTGCAGTTCTGTCTCTGGTAAAAATCAGTACTTAAACGGAAGGTGTGAGGAGTACCACAGTGTTCCTACAGTCCCTTTTGCTGCCACCAAGATTTTACTCCAGCTGTGAGCAGAGATTGATGTTCAGTGCTTGTTAGTGGTTCCAAAAATTTTTTGCATTAATTCGGGAAGCTCTGGATATTCCTGCCTTGTGTTTGACTGTCTAACTTTGCTAATACAATATTGCTTTAAGGGAGTTCCATGGGCTAGTTCATTATGAGGGAAACTAAGCGGAAAATTAAAATAACATACCCCATGCCATACAGAAAATGAGTGACAGAAACAAGCTTAGCATAGGATGTGTCTCACATACTTACACTCATTTTGAGGAAAAGTTTAAATGGCTATAAATTAAAATACAGGTCATTGGGTGAGGACAGATGTAGCATGAAACACCCAGTTTTATTTGTTTGGGTTTTTTTAAAAGTTGTTTAAGTCAGTGTCTTGACCTTAAACAAGTGGATTATTTTCTCATTCAGTGTATTTCCCATTTTCAGGTAAATGGGTGGAAAGGAAAATTCTGAACAAACATTCACTTTGCAGACAGTTGATTTTTTTTGCATCAGACTTCATAACTGGTACCCTCTGCCTGAAGGAATGAAATGGTAAGTAATAGTTCTCTGATTTAGGTAATACACTTTTTGCTTATCAAGCTCTTCTATGTTCTAGTATATGAGCTTGTACTTGAAAGCTATCTACTTACTCCGTCTGAGGACATGCTGTTCCCTCTACACTAGAAATCCCTTTTTGTGCTTCATTATCACTTTCTGTCCTGGTGTGTGGAATCAGACGTTGTAGTAAGGGGGATGCTTGGCTTGGGACCAATCTGTTACTGGAGAGAGCATGCATCTAAGTGCTGAAAAGGATGGGTCAGAAGAAGGGGATCTGGGAGTAATTTTTTATGTTTATATGAGCAGTTCTTTTTATAAGTGATTACCATCAGCTGTTTAATAAACCTTACCCTTTATGTCACTTGTAGTAGTGAGAACTTGAGTACACTTGAATTATCCTGCTGTAAGGGATTGAACAGTGGAAAAAACTTATAATGCCCGTTTTAAATGATAACTCTCCTAAGAATTGTGATTATCCTTTTTGCTTTCAGACAAATGATCTCTAGTGTTCAGCTGACTCCATTCTCCCAACAGATTCCATAATCCTTGTGTGATTTCTTGTAGCACAGTTTACACCGTTTTTCAGGGCCATGGGG